AGGCACCTCACCGTCGCCCTTGCTCCCGCGGCAGTGGGGCCAGGTGGCGGCAGAGTGGCAGGGGTGGGGATCGTCGCCCCACGTTGCGTGGGCCTCACCTACCTTGAGGGCGTTGGCACCTTCGACTTCTCGCCGCCAGGATCGCCAGGAAGGCTGGTGGCGGCCTGGACCCCTGGGTTTCTTCGTGGTGGCCTCATGGTCCTCAGCGCCTACTTCTGGGTTTCAGAGGGCTGGGCAGTTCGCAACCTGTCCATCTTGGACGCCATAGGAGAATTAGTGAGGGCCTAAGACATCCCGTGGGTCCTCCAGGCGGACTTCAACAACACCCCCGACACGCTCAGGGCCACGGGCTGGGTGGACGACGTCGGGGGCATCATCTTCTCCTCGGCCGCCCCCACCTGCCAAGGCAAGGGAGGCGGGAGGGTCATCGACTACTTTGTGGTGGACGCGCGCATCGCGTCAGCCTTCGGTGCAGCGGAGGTGCTCGACGCGCCCATCGCCCCGCACAGCCCCGTCGCCATCACGACGGAGAGGCCACTGCGGGAGCGGCTAGGCTGGAGGCTGGTCAAGCCTCGTGCTTTCCCGACTCGCCTCCCCGTGGGCTGTCGTAGGGAGCCACCAGCCTGGCCGATCCTCGACAGCGGAGCAAGCTACAGCGACGCCGAGCTGGAGAAGTTGTGGGCTGAGTTCTCGGCGGCGGCCGAGCACGACCTGCAGGGCATCCACGACCTCGTTGGCGAGACCGACTACACTGGCAGGGGGGGCCACCCTCGATGGGCCAGAGCCCCGATCGCAGGCCCAGAGGCGCATGCGAGGCCCAGGGGCACCACGCGCTCCAGGGCATGGCGCTGGGTGGCCAGCCGCGTCGGGGACATCGTCTGGCTGGCGCAGGCGGCCCGCCAGCGGCGCGACTGGCAGCCGTTTGCCGACCAGTGGCGGCGCCTGCGCAGACGCCTCCACCATGGTGCTGCCCGCTGGTGCGACGCGCTGGGCGACGACGCCAGGGCCGTGCACGTCGAGCTCCTATCGCTGGGCGACCTCACCTGGGACGGGGACGCGCTCTGGGAGGACGCTCCCAGGGCGATGGAGCTGCAGCGTCGGGCCACGCAGCAGGCCCACGTCATCGAGCAGGGCCTCCGAGACCAGAGGGCCAAGGCGTGGCGGCAGAGGCTCAAGGACGGCTCACAAGGAGGAGCAGGTTTTGTCCATCGCATGTCGAAGTGGCGCCAGGGGGTCGACCCCACGCTCGGGGCCAGAGGGCGCACCAATCTGGACATGACCTGCTCACAGGCCGCGGTGGACTTGGAGGCGCTGAAGTGGATCGACCTCTGGACCCCCCACGGCGCCCAGAGCCGAGGCGAGCTCCCTCGGCCCTGGGAGGCGGCCACTTTCGAGTATAGCATGGCCGAGCCTACAGCGGACAACATCAGGGCCATATGCAGGGCCTTCCCAGGGCGCACGGGGGTTGGAGTGGACAACTGGCACCCCAGGTGGTTTGCGAGCTTGGGGGACGAAGGGCTCGTGTTCCTGGCCGCCTTCGTCGCCTACGCGTCGCGCACGGCCAGGTGGCCCCCCCCCAGCTGCGCTACGTGATGTATCTTCTACTGGCCAAGCAGGGTGGGGGGACTAGGCCCATCGGCCTCCTCACCACTGCAGCGCGGCTGGTGGAGCGCGCGCACTCGCACCAGCTCCACGACTGGGAGCGGGAGATTCGACGGGACTACGACTTCGCGGCGCCAGGCGGGGGATCAGAGGAAGCGATATGGCAGCAGATGCTGTTCGACGAAGGAGCCCAACCTGGGGAGGTGACGGGCACGGCGGTCTTAGACCTCGAGGAGGCGTTTGAGCATGTCACGATGTACTTGCTGTGGGCCGAGGCGCCCACGCATCAGTTTCGTTTGCAGCTTTTGAAGCTCCTGATCTCAATATACACAGCCACGCGCGTTGTTTCGTTCCGCGGAGTGGTGTCGGTGCACTCAGTCACCACCTTCTCTGCAGTCGTTGCTGGCAGCAGCGGGGGCACGATATGCCTCAAGCTAGCTATTTTGTCAGTTGTAGACGGGTTGGCGCAAGAGCACCCTGCCATGCAGCTGAAGCTATTTGTCGATGATTTAAGCATTCAGGCGCGAGGTGCGGAGGCGGATGTCTCGGCCTCGTTGCATGCCGCCACGACCCAGTATATTGATGAAATGGAGGCCCGTGGGATCCCCGTCTCCAGGGCCCGACCAGACAAGCCGAAGGGCAAGGGGTTCATCATGACAGCGCAGCGCTCCCTGCGGGCCCGCATCAAAGGCTGGGCCCACAGCCTGGGACTGGATGTCCAGGCCAACAGCACGCAGCTTGGAGTTGATTCGGCGGGAGCAGGAGTTGTGTCGCTGCGCGCCAGGGCCGATGCCAGGATGGGGAGCGCTCGGCGACGCAGAAGTAAGTTGTCGAGTCTCGGCAATCAGGGTGCGCGCACTTTTCAAGTTGCGCGTATGGGATTTCTCCCCTCTGTGCTGTATGGGGCGGTCTGCCTCGGAATGGACCCGACTCGGCTCACCCGAGCGAGGGCTCTCATGGCTTCAGCGCTGGGCGGGAACGCAATCGGTAAGGACCGACTGCTGCGCCTGTGGACGCTTCGCTGCGACCCCCTGGTCGACGCTTGCACGAAGCCACTGCTCAAATGGGCGGAGGCTATCTTTGCTGGCAGCCATGGGGAGATCATGGCTGCGGGGTGGCGTGGAGCTGTTGCGGCGGCTGCTGCCGCCAAGCCTGGGAGCAACCCCTGGAGACAGATAAAAGGACCTGCCTCAGCCGTCTGGGCCACACTCCATCTCCTCTCGTGGACGTGGCCTGCCCCTCACGTTTTCTCCGACCATCTCGGGCAGCACTGGGAGTTGCGTAGGACGGCACCGCAGTGTCTCAAGAAGCTGATCTGGACCCGTTTGGAATTTGCGGTTATGACCTCCTGGGCGGCCTCCAGGGACCTCGGAATCACCCGTCCTTTCCTCGAGCCTATTCGGGCTCTCCTTCGGCGAAAGGCTAACCGATCGCCGCAGAGGCGATCGGCTATCCTGGCCTACATGGGCCGAGACTTCTGGACCCAGGAAAAGGTCTGGCGCGCGGGCTTCGGGGACGACAGGTCCTGCCAAGCCTGTGGCGCAGAAGTCGGATGTCAGCACCATCATTTCTGTTGTTGCCCAGACCGAGGAGCGGCGAGAGCCACCGTCGCAGAGGCTGAGGGCCTCCAAGGGATCGTGCATCGTGCTGAATCCTCCTCCTCGGATTCCCTCCTCTTCTCCCGTGGGCTTCACGAGCACCCCCTGGAGGACCCGCAGTCTGATTGGATTAATGCCCTGGCGGATGAAAACCCCGATTTTGTGAATCCCCCGCTGGTCTCAGGGTGGGCCTACTCTGACGGATCGGCCAGAGGCCCACCAGGGCTCAAGAGCTTCGGTTGGGGCTTCGTTTTCCTGGACCAGGACGGGGGGGCTGTCAAGGCCATGCGGGGTACCCTCCCAGGGCTGCGTATCCTCGCCTCCGTCCTCCGTGCTGAATTGTATGGATTGCTCAAGTTGCTGTATAGCGCCCACCCTCCGCTGAGGGTAGGGATCGACAACAGTTCAGTCATTCGAGGCCTCCGTAGAGGTCCCCGTTGGTGCTGCAGCCCTCGGAGGCCTCACGCCGACCTCTGGGGCAGGATTTGGGCCCAGCTCCAGGATAGTTTCAGCCAAGAAGGCGACTTCCAGGCCGTCAAGGTAAAGGCCCATGCGCGCGGGCCGAAGGATGACTCGCACGAAAGTTTTCTCGATTTTCAAGGGAACCAATTGGCAGATAATGAGGCCCGCCTAGGGGCCGACATGCAGGAGGTCCCCCCGTGGAAGGCCCAGACCTGGACCACCCGCTCGGCGGAGGTCCAGGCGGTGTTGACTCTGGTGGCGGGGGTGACGGGGTTGACTGCGGATTTCGGGGATTCCACGGGGAGGCCTGCCGCGGGCTCCAGCGGGGCCAGCCGAAGGCGGCAAGGACCGCCCGAGGGGGCCCGAGCTCACGTCCTCCTCTGGAGGAGGGGGGCGTGGCGTTGCTCGACGTGTGGCCGCAAAGCTTTCTCCGGCAAGACCAAGCGCGCGTTGGCGCGCAGACCCTGCCTGGGTAAGATGAGGGTGGATCGTCGTTGGGGTGTCGGGCTGGGGCGGGGGGATGGGGAAGGAGACATTTCTCCCGCCCTCCGTGGAGCGGCCCTAGGGCACGGGCTGCACCGAGTGGGCCAGTATACCTTCTGCGATCGGTGCGGTGTCTTTTCGAGCGAGAGGGGGTACAAGCTCCTGGGCGCCTGCGTCGGGGCCCCAGCGAACCCCACCGCAGGGTACCGCCTCTCGCTCCTGCGCCGAGGCAGGAATCCTTACGCAGTGAAGGTCTCCCTCGAAGCGGTACCGCGCTCCCTGGTACAGGAGGAGTGTGACGCTTTCTGGGAGTGCCTCATGGACTGAGGCAGGACGGGGCGGGAGGCACCCCGTGGCGGAGTGCCCGCCCATCCTCTCTTTCTCTTGTGGCGAGCTGGGGCGGGGACCGCCAGGCATCGTTCTTGCAGCAAAAAACCTCCTCCCTCCTCCTCCTCCTCCTCCTCCTCCTCCTCTCCTCCCTCCCTCCTCTTCCTCCTCCTCCTCTCCTCCTCCTCCTCCTCCTCCTCCTCCTCCTCCTCCTCCTCCTCCTCCTCCTCCTCCTCTCCTCATCCTCCCCTCCTCCTCCTCCTCCTCCTCCTCCTCCTTCCTCCTCCTCCTCCTCCTCCTCCCCCCTTGCCTCCTCCTCCCCTCGCCTCCTCCCCCCCCCGCCCGCCCCCCCCCCCCCCCCCCCCCCAGGACGAGGAGGAGGAGGAGGACGACGACGAGGAAGAGGAGGAGGAGGAGGAGGAGAGGAGGAGGAGGAGGAGGACGACGACGAGGAGGAGGACCCCCCCACCGCCCTCCGCTCTCCTCGCCCCCCCCCCCCCCTCCGCCGCCCTGCGGGCCCCCCCGCAGGCGGGCGCCTCGCCCGCCCAGGCCGGCGCCGCGCCCGCCGCCGTGAGCGCCCTTGCGGCCTCGACCACGAGCCGCGGCCTCGGACCCCCCGCGGCGCGGCGTGCGGGGCGGCGGCCTCGCGCCGCTTTTTCCTCGGGAGGGGGGCAAGAACACAGGCACCGAGGCACGCAACGCAACGCAACGCAACGCAACGCAACGCAACACAGCACAACACAGCACAGCACAGCACAGCACAGCACAACACAGCACAACACAACACAACATAACACAACACAACACAACACAACACAATACAACACAACACAACAGCACAACACAGCACAGCACAGCACAGCACAGCACAGCACAGCACAGCACAGCACAACACAGCACAGCACAGCACAGCACAACACAACACAACACACAACACACGCAGAGAGACACAAAGAGTCGTCGATTCGCAGGAAAATGTTGGGACATGCAGTCTCGAAGAAGAAAAAGGCCATACAGAGACACCTTTTTGGGGCTCCGCGTGTATTTCTTGGATCCACGCTGGGCCCCCCCCCTGGCGGCGCCTCCGGCGCCGCCCCTGGCGCCCTCCTGGCCAGGGAGGGGAGTCCATCGCGGATCCAAGAAATCCGCGCGGAGCGCCAAAAGTTTATGTTTATGGCGCTCTTCTTTCTTCTAATACAGTCGGCCCATATCGTAAGGCAGCGCGATAGGGATGAAAGGGCCTTGGAGGACCATGTCGAAACTTCTCCAGCGGGGCGCGGCCAACGAAAGTTGCCAAGGATGGACCGAAGAGGCAAGGATGCAAGGGCACCCTTGGGAAGGCCGCCCATCCTGTCTATGCGGGCTGACTGTATGGGAAGTGTGAGGGGGGGAGACGAAAACCGAGAACGTAGGAGAACATGAGGGGAATCCTGGGATCTGTGTCCATTTCTTTGCCCCTTCATCTCCTTCCATGCAGTCCTGGATGGTCGGGCGGGCGGATTGGTGCTCTCGTCGGCCAAATCCGCACGCTACCCTCGCCGGTCAACGATTCAGGCCACTCCATGGGCGGGGGGCGGTAGGGCTCGGAATTCGTCGAACACGTGGCGAACTCCAAACCTCTCCCCAGCCTCCCGTCGATTCGGGAGGGTCGAGGGTTGGTAGGGGTAGGGTCCGGCTGTCGCCGCACATTATTGCTCATTCGCGCTGCCTGCCTGCTCGTGTCGCGCTCCAGGGGGTAGGGGCCGCGCCGTGGTCGGGCCCTGGGGGCAGTCAAACATGTGCGTAGCTGATCCTGGCGGGGGGGGCTCCCCCCTTCCTGCCGTGCCTGGATCGGTTCCACGTCATCAGTGACCCTTCGCCGGAGTGATCTTTTGTTGCGGGCCCACTGGGGTCCTCGATCGCCGAACGTGATGCGATACTAGCGTCTTGTGCGCTTGGGGATGCCCCCCCCGCGGCCCCCCGAAGGCCGTGGACCAAAGGCCACTCTTGTCTAGGGTCACTCTTACTTGCCATCGCTCGGACGTGTGCATCTTTTCTCGGCGCGGGGCCTGAACCCTGGGGCGTCGGTCTCATTCGCTCTTTCCGTCCTGGGTCTTCGGGCGGAGGCAGACGGAGTGGATGGCGTCCTGGATCTTCAGGCACGCGCGTTTTTCCCATGCGTTGCATCCGCCCCTGCGGCATGGCGCCGATGGACCTCGGGCGGGTGGTTGTTTTTTTTGTCCGAAGCCCGCTGCCATCCGTAACTCAGGAGGAGAAAAAACACACAGACACAATTAACCGTCGATTCCACCGAAAATATGGGAAAATATGGGAAGTGGGGGGGAAGACAAAAACCCAGAACATCTGGGAAAATATGGGAAAAGATGGGTGATCTTTTTATTTGTGTGTATTCATTTGTGTGTCCTGGGGCCCCTTCATTACACAGGGGATCTCTGGTTTTGTGTGTGTATGTGGCCTCCCGGGGCGCCCCCGTCGCCACGGCCAGAGTCGCATCGGAGTTCCAGTCGCGCAGCACCGCTGGACAGGTCGGGGAGTGTTCGGCCACGCGCGGAGGGGGGTGGAGGGAGGGGGGAGGGCTTCCCAGAAGCACCCCTGCTTCTGAGAAGGCGCGGTCCTTCTGTGTAGATGTAAGGTCGCCGCCCTCTAAGCAGCAGCCTCCTTCTAAGAAGCCTTCCCCCCTCCCTCCACCCCCTTCTGCGCGCCGCCAAAGTTCAGGGGCCGATGTGCGAGTGCAGAGGGCGGCGGCGAGGAGCGGCGAGCGAGGATCGCGGCTCGAGAGTCCGGAGGCTCCGCTCGGGGGGCCTCCGGTGCCGTCGGGGCCCTCCACAGTCCTCCGGAGTTCTCTGTGGGAGGGGGGGAGGGGGAGGAGGGGGAAAGTGATGGAGTACGAACTTCTCGAATCGACACTTCTCACTTCTCCTCTTCCTCCCCCTTGCTGCCGTGGTCTTGGTCCTCTTCCCCCCCATCCTCCTTTCCCTCTTTCGTTTACTCCTCCTCCTCCTCCTCCTCCTCCTCCTGGTCCCCCTCCCGCTCCTCCTGGTCCCCCTCCCGCTTCTCCTCCTCCTCCTCCTCCTCCTCCTCCTCCTTCTCCTCGTCCCCCTCCTACAATATTCCCCCCCTCGCTCATCTGTGCTCGTCTTCGCCCCCTCTACCGTTTTTGTGTCCTTTCTCCCTCTCTCTCTGCCTCCCTCTCCCTCTCCCTCTCTCTCTCTCTCTGTGCGTCTGTCTGTATACATACATTTGTGTAGATTGAAATCCATGCGCGGTATACTCTATCCGTATCAGTTTCCGTCTCCACATCCTCGTCCTGCGAGCTCGTCGCCAAGGGGGAGGGCGGAGGGAAGGCACGAGGGATCATGCGCGAGGCAGGTGAGGGAGGGAGCCAGGTGGGAGGGGGGAATGCGAGGAGGAGAAGAAGGCGAAAGGAGGAGGAGGAGGAGGAAGAAGAGGAGGAAGAGGAGTAGGAGGAGGAGGAGGAGAAGAAGAAGAAGAAGAAGGCGGGAGGAGGAGGAGGAGGAGGAGGAGGAGGAGGAGGAGGAGGAGGTGAGGAGGAGGTGAGGTGCAACGGAGAAGATGGCAGAGGAAGCTGTGAGGAGAGGTGGCGGCAGGCAAGAGCAGAGCACGACAGGGGGGGGTCGCGGAAGGGCGGCAGGAGGAGAAGGGCTGAAGGGATTTGAGAGGTAAGATCGACTAGACGTGAGAGTGACCTTTCGCTGGAGTGACCTTTGGTGCGGGCACAGGTGGGCCCTCAGATGGCTGAAAACGAAGCGGTAGCACCGACTTGCGCGCCCAGGTTTGGTGTCCCCGCGGCCCCAAAAAGCCGTGCACCAACGGTCTCTCTTACCCAGGGTCACCCTTGCGTGTAGTCGATAAGAGAGAGGCGGGGGAGCAGCGGGGTGGGGGTGCGGGGGTGACAAAGCGAGAGATGCGCAGGGCGGAGGGGGATAGGGGGAGAAGGAGGAGGGGGAAGAAAGGGGAAGGAAGGAGTGGAAAGGAGGGATAGGAGGAGAAAGAGGAGGAGAAAGAGGAGGGAAGGGACGGATGGGGAGGAGGGGATGGAGGGGGGAGGAGGAGGAGGAGGAGGAGGAGGAGGAGGAGGAGGAGGAGGAGGAGGAGGAGGAGGAGAAGGAGGAGGGATCAGCAGCTGCAGTGCGTAAACGCCGAGGAGGAGGGAGGAGGGAGGAAGAGGGGAGGTTTGACGAGGAGGAGGAGGAGGAGGAGGAGGAGGGAGAACGAGAAGTAGGAGGAGTGACTGCAAGACGTTAAGTTTCCCTTCGAGGTGGGATGTCCCCAGACTGCCTGGCACGACAAGGGCAGCCAACAGGGATTTCCAAATTTCGGCGCCCTGCCCAGTTTGTCGCAGACCCAGGGATCCCGATCCCATGCTGGGACATGCTGGGGCAGCCAACACCGTTGTGGCGGCGTCTTCGCGGTTGGCAATCTGTTTCATATAGGCGCTTGCGAGAAACGGGCGAACGCGCACCCATAGAGTCACGGCGAAGAGGAAGGGAGGAGGGGGGGAGGGAAGTAGGAGGGAGGGGGGAGGATGAGGACGAGGACGAGGAAGGTTCGGAAGCACATTGTCGCTCCACATGGCACCCTTCGGAACACGTCCTGATCAAGGTTCAAATGTAGGAGTTTCGAATGTTACAGGAAGTGCTCGGATTTCGTCGGAGGTCGGGTGAAGTGCATCACCAATCATGTTACGTCCGGCCCACAGTTTAGGGACGTATGTTTCTTCTTTCTGGTGTGAAGCCGTTGCATTGTCGTGCTCGCCACAGCGTATTCAGAAGCTCTTGGCGTGAAGCGTTTGCCATGGGCCGTGGATGCCACACCTACCCTGTTCTGCCGTGCTTCTTTCGTGCCAGCTGGGGTTGGGAAGCGGTGTGCTTGATGGGAAGCGGGAGAGGGGAACGCAGGGAGCGTCGCACGCAGGACGTGGGCGCAGAGTTGAATGGGAGGACGTGTTCCTGCCCGTGGTCGGTGCCGAGTGGCGTTCCCAGTGGGATGCATGCTGACAGGGATCGAGCGGATGCGAACCTACTTTTTCTGGGAAAGACGATGTTGCACAAGATGAGAGTTGTTCTTTGGTCAAGTCGACAGCGCAGAGCAGACAGTCACAGCGGCGCCATCGTGCTCGAAGCGAAGGAGGACTGGTTCACGTCCGTTGGAAGATATTCCTGGGGATCACGGGAAGGGCGCACCTCCTGCTACTTGGGACGGCGACCGTGGACGTGCGCTCTGCATCACGGATTGCCCGCCACTTGCTGACGTCGCAATTGGTGCTAACATCTTGACAGCTCCGTCTGTGGCACCAATGTCGAGCCGTATCACGCGACCTTGTGAGGACATTGTGCACTATCGTTGGCGGCCGCCGCGTGACCGCGATGACATCGTACTTTGGCAAAGGCGCGAGGTCACCTCGTGAACGTCACAATGGACGAGGGAAAGTCATAGTACCAGTGTTCCCCATTTGAGCCGGTAGATTTGTACCGTGGCAGCCTCATTGTCTGCACCGATGGCGGCACAGGGGCGACGTCGTGTTTTGCAGCAGCGTGGTATCTTGAAGCTGCGGTGCCACGTGGACGATACGATACCGTAATTGTTTATGCGACATGTTGTTAGGAACGTTTGTCACGACACGTTACTTCTCTCACGGCTCAGGCCCTGACTCTAAAGAGGCAGCACTGGCCATGCCGAAGATAGTGCCTAATCGCCATGGGCCATGTGTAGCAGCAGCGTTGTCTCCTGTGTCGTGTCTTTCACCTTGTCAACCGTGTAGTTTGTGCTTGAATATCGTGACGGGAACAAGTGGTTAACACAGTGAGTGTTCTAGGCCCTGCGGCAGAAGCAAAAAGGACAAGGCGCATGAGGAGGAGGGGGAGGAGGACCACCACCACAACCGCCACGGCGACGACGCCGATGAGGAGGTGTGGAGACGAGGAGGTGGAGGAGCAGGAGGCACACGTTGCGCGCACGGATGCGGGGAGGTGAACACTCGCAGGAGGAGGAGGAGGAGTCGGAGGAGAACAGGAGGAATATGATACTGATGATGATGATGCTGATGATGGTGATGATGGTGATGGTAATGGCGATGTGGACGGTGACGATGATGCTGCTGATGATGATGGCGACGATGACGATCATGACGATGATGACAATGATGATGACGATGATGATGACGATGGTGAAGCTGATGATGATGCTGGTGGTAATGATGACGATGATGATGATGATGATGATGATGCTGCTGATCATGATGCGTATGATGCTAATGTTGATGATGGTGGCGGCGATGATGCAGATGCTGCTGATGATGATGACGACGATGATGCTGATGATGCTAATGCTGATGCTGCTGATGATGATGATGATGCTTATGATGATGACGACGGTGATGATGTTAATGAGCATAATCATGATGATGATGATGATGATGATGATGGTGATGAGGGTAATGCTGGTGCTTGTGCTGCTGCTACTGAGGATGATGCTGATTATGATGATGATGATGATGATGCTGATGCTGATGCTGCTGCTGATGATGATGATGAATGGTGATGATGGTGATGATGATTATGATGAATGGTGATGATGGTGATGATGATGATGATGATGATGATGATGATGATGATGATGATGACGACGACGACGACGATGAGGAGGATGATGATGATGATGATGATGATGATGATGATGATGATGATGATGATGATGACGATGGTGATGATGATGACGATGATGACGATGATGACGATGAGGACAGGCGCTCGAGGAGCGAGGACGGGCGCTCGAGGGATTTACGCCTGTGCATGCTCCTCAGCCTCCTCGTGGGAACCTTCCTGGAGGCCTTCCGGGGCCAGGGGGCTCTCCTGGCGGTGGCCGGCTGGGGCAAGAGGATGGGGCCCGAGAGGAGGAGGAGGAGGAGGAGGAGGAGGAGGAGGAGGAGGAGGAGGAGGAGGAGGAGGAGGAGGAGGAGGAGGAGGGGGATGAGGCCGGCTGGGGGCCGGGCAGCCCGCGGCCAGCAGGCGGGGGGCTCGAGAGGCGGCAGGCAGGAGGGCGGAGCCCGAGCCCGAAAGCCGAGCCCGAAGCCCGGGGCCCGAGCCCGGCGAGGCCGGGCCCGAGCCCGAGCAGCTGCCCTCTGCAGGAGGAATGATTCCAAAGAGCCCCCAAGAAATGGTGTGGGGACGACTTTTTGGAGTATTTCTGAAAATTTGCTTCACTGGCTATTTGATGGTTCGTCCGAAATCCGCCTGCAGGAGGACACGCTCGACCTCAGCGCGAGCCCGAGCACGATCCCGGAGCCCGAGCCCGGGCCCGAAGCGGGGCCCGAGCCCGGCGCGGGGCTGGGTCCGCGGGCCGCCGCTTGCGCGGGGCGCCCCGCGCTGCTCTCAGGTCCGCCGTACGACTGCTACAGCGGGGAGTACGCCTGGGACCGGGGCTGGTCGCCGGAGAGGCTGAAGTGGCGCCTCCTCCGCCCGCGCGGCCCGTCATCGCCCGCGGCGTCGTCGTCCTGCTGCTGCTGCCGCTGCTGCTCCCAGGCTGCGCTGCTTCCTGCTCCCCCTTCTGCCCCCTGCTTTTGCTCCCTCTCTTCTCCTGTTGCTCGTCGTTCTCGGTCTCGGTCTCGGCATTCTCGGTCTCGCCCTTCGCTCGTGTAGCCCTCCTTTTCTCAAGGGAAGCAGAGAGGAGCAACGGGGTTGCAAAGCACTCTGATGGTCTTGGCTGCCCCGTGTATAGCCACGAAGATGCCCTGGCGCGCTTCCCGAGTCGAGCAGCTTCCACTTCCTTGACGTTATTGCTTGTCTTATTCTCTCTCTCTCTCTCTCTTTCTCTTTCTTTAGTTCTCTCTGTCTCTCTCTCTTTCTCTTTTTCTCTTGGATTACTGCTTGGGTGTCCTCTGGCACCCAGATGCTGAAACGGCGACATGGTTCCGGACAGCACCGCCGCCCACGCCCTCAGGCGGTGCCTGTGTATGCGCCCGCACGAGTTGAGTAGCCTCCTCGGTTCTCTGGCCGCTGCACGTTCGTTTGGACTTACAGCTTCTCCTTCCGACTACCCATGTTTGCACTCTTCTGTGTGCGACGCTTCGTACACTGCGCCTTCGACGATGCTCGATCGCAATCAGCACCTGCATTTGCTGTTCGCGCCTGAGGACCCTCTGCGCCGCTGACATAAGATAACATGTATGTGCCCGTTGAATGCCGCCAGCAGTGGGCGACCCCGTGCCCTCGGCCCCACCGTCCATCGAACAGAGCGCAGAGAATCTGGCACGACACTGGGGTGATGTTCGCAGCTGCCCTTATGATGTATCCGCTTGAGATCCTGGTGCTTCCCAGGCGCCCGCACACGGATACAGAACAGGAGTGGATCTTGCTAGGGTGCCCGAGTTGGAGTTCATGGGATCTGTCATGCGCAGACTGTGCGGCGCCCGGTCGTTGACCATGCGCCGCTAATCTGCAGATGCAGGGCCTGCCGGAATCCCATTTAGTGGTTGTCACAACGGGGGGTCCCACGGTTTTGGTTGCTCTGTTTAAAACTTGCCGGGCTTTGCATGCCAAGCTTTGACCGCCACCCGTTTCCCGCCAACTGGCTGTATCAACGGTGCAGTGGTGTGCCCGTCGAAGGTCGAAGTTACTAATACTTGTCCAGGGCTCGTAGTAGCTGATGCTCAGCTGCTCAGCGGCGCTGGCAACACGCAGGTATGGTTCGCCGTGGCTGCGCTATTCCATGTCAAGGCCCAGTATCCAGTAGCTCTGTGTCAGGGCGGGAATGTTCTTTGTCGCAGACCAATAGACGACGTCGTATGCCTGGAGCCCTGGATCATGGAGTGAGCGTGCCACTCTATCCTCCCTCCCTCTCCTGTTCCTTCCTGTGTTTCTTCTCCGTCTTCCCATCACCCGCCTTGCTTCCTCCCTCTCTCTTCCTCCTTGTCCTCGTCGTCATCATCCTCCTTGCCCAGTCGTCGTCGCCGCCGTCGTCGTCATTACCATCCTGGTCGATGCCCTCTGCCTCGTCACCCTCTCCATCCTCCTCTTCACTGTGCTCCCCTTCGCCTCATATCCGCCGTTGAGGAAGGGCGTGCGTGAGGGTTCTGCGCTGACACTTGTTGCCCCCCATTTCAGGTGCTGCGAGACGCTCGGCGAGGGCTGCGACATCAAGGAGCTGGCCGAGGAGGACTCCGTTTTTCGGCATCGGTGCCTTCGGGAAGCGAGGAGCGGGAGGAGGACGAGGAGGAGAAGGAGGAGGAGGAGGAGGAGGAGGAAGAGCAGGAGGTTCAGGAGGAGCATGAGGATGAGGAGGACTGAGGAAGAGCAGCTTCCGCGGGTAGAGACCGCGCCCCTTGCGAAACCTTTACGGCGTCGAGGAAATGCCATGCCTGCCGCGCCCTGCGAGCCTACAACGAATAGAGACCGCACCACCTTCGCACCCCCTCTGGCGTCGAGGAGATGCCACGCATGCCACGCCTTGGGAGCCTGACACGGCGAACGACCCCACCACTTGCGCACCCCCCTCGGGCGTCGAGAAAGTGTCACGCCTGCCACGCCCTGGTAGCCTGACGCGCATAGCGACTCCACCCCCTGCGTGCCCCTTTTGGCGTCGTCAAAATTGCCACGCCTGACACTCCCTGGGAGCCCAGCACGGATGGCCGGATGGCGACCGCACCCTTTGCACACCCCCTCTAGCGTCGAGAGAGTGCCACACTTGCCACGCCCTTGGAGCCTGACACGGGTAGCGACCGCACCCTTCGCGCACCCCTTTGCATTACCGTGGCCCATGCCAGCAGTGACTTGCTCTTGTTGCGTGCGCGGTCGGCAGGGGTGACGAAGGAACTTTCAGAGTTCGAGTGGCGGGCCGTGCAAACTTGCGAGGAGAATCCCCAAGTGGATTTCGGGAAAACGAGGCCGATGAGTTACAAGTGGCTTTCGCGCGGAAAGTACGTCTCGGTTAGAGGCAACATTGTCGAGCCAAAACGGTCGAACAAATCCACGAGCAATTCACCAGATATTCGCCATGAATTCACACTGAACTTCACTGGGGACTTGACATCGGAACCCGAAGGGTTTCGCGGAGAAATGTATGCATTCTTTGCCAAATGAGCAAAACTTGCGCCGCGAAATGTTCACTTGCACCCCGTGCGGCCTCGTCCTGAGTGACATCTGGTTTCGAGGAAAGGCCACGCCTGCCACGCCCTCGGGGACTGAGACGGATAGTGACCCCACCACTTGCGCACCCCCATTTGGTGTCGAGAATATGCCACCCCTGCCGCGCCCTTGGAGTCTGACTCGGATAGCGACCCCCCCCCCTGGCCACCCGTTGTGTACTAGCGTTGTTATGTCAGCGTTTCGCGTTTTGCGTGTCCTCCTACTCCTACTTGTGCGTGGTGTGGATGCGTGCGGTGTGTATGTGTGTTGTGTGGTTGCACGGCTGCATGTGTGCGTGTGTCCATGCGCATGCGTGTGAGAAGAGAGGGAAGGGGGGGAGCCGTGTGTGAGTGTGTATGCAGCCCCGCGCGGCCCGCCAGCTATCCGAACGCGCCGCTGTCAACAATTGTGTGCGTGTGTTTGTGTGTGTGCGTGCGTGCGTGCGTGCGTGCGTGCGTGCGTGTGTGTGTGTGTATGTTGGGAGAGGCGCGGGTGCGACGCGGGTTGGGAGAACACCAAAACCTAACTTAGCTTGTGGGGGACACCGACAACCCGCACCGCAGAACCGCACTACAGCCGGGCACCCAGGGATGGTGCAAGACCGCTCGGCCCCCTCACTCTCATAACAGAGGACATGCTGAGGAGGCGGCGCGGAATGAGAGAATCTTGCCCCAGATCTTCGCTACCAGCGCGGCGCCCCTGCCAGCCAGGCTTCTAGACCCTCCCCCGCTCCCCCCTTCGAGCCCGACGCCCCTCCCCCCGCCCATTGTGTGCTCCCCACACCCCCTCCTGTGGATTTTGGTCGTCGTCCCCTCGGCGCCGCGCCGCGCGACGTCCCCCCCCTCCCCTTCCCCGACGCCGCCAGCCACCAGACCCTGCGGCCGCTGCTGCGGCAGCCCGCCCTGCCGCTGCTGCCGCTGAGCTCTGGCACGCCCCTCGCGCTGCGCCCGGGTGCCCCACGGGGGGGAGCCACGGCTGCCGCTCCGGTGGGCGCGCCCGGACCAGGCCCGAGCATGCCGTTCGGCAGCCGCCCCTCGCGCAGGCCGCTGCCCATGCAGAGCGCAGCCCGCGTGGGCGCAGCCCGCACGTGGCCCCGGCAGCCGCTTCTGTATGCCCCTCGCGCGTCGTGTGGCCCATCGTCGAGGAAGGGGAACAAAAAAACCCGACCACGAGTGGCGTTTGCTGGAGGGTCCTGGGCGTTGGCTAGACAGTCCTGCCCAGTTCGATCCCTTCCCCAGGTACATTTCCTAGACGGCTTCGCCTGTCGGGGTACTGCTTGCAAGGGTGCTTTTTCTGCAGTCTACACAGGGGGCCCGGGCGACTTACCTAGGATGTTCTCGAATACAGTAGTAAGTTGTCACTTGGTATTTTTTTTGCCGCAATCATTTGCAACTCAGCAGGGGTTCAGAAAAGGCCTGGAAGGTCCCTTTGGAAAGCGAAGAGGCGGAGCATGAGGAGAAGGAGGAGGTGGAATAGGAGGAAGACGATGAAGAGCGATACGATGCGCAGGAGGAGGAGGCGAAGGCGGAGGAGCAGGGGGAGAAGGAGGCGAAGGCGGAGGAAGAGAAGGAGGGGGGGAAGGAGGCAAAGGAAGAGGAGGGGGCAGGAGGTGGAGGGGGACCGGGAGGACGTGTGATGGAGGCCAGGGTACGGATGCAGTGAGCATAAGCCAGAAGCGCGCTCTTCCATCATTGCCGTGTCCTCTTGGATGCCCTCTTGGGCGCCTTCGGGCTCCTGCAGGGTCCTTTTGAGCGCTCACGTGGAGCCATCTTTGAGCCATCGTGGATGCCATCTTCGACAGAGTTGGGCCGATTTGGGTGATGCAAGTGATTATGTTTGGCCATGCGGGGTAGTATTGGAGCCATCTTGGGCCATTCGGGGAGCCGCCAGGGCCTGCAGAGCGATTCAGTGGCCTCTCAGCTCTGGGGCCTAGGAGGTGTGTTGAGGAGCTCGTGAAGGCACTGGCTCCCTCTTCTCCCCCTCGGCCTCCTGGGGCCCGCTGGGGCCCTTTGGTGTCTCCATGGGCCGTCTTTCCTGGGGCGTCCTGATGCTTCCCCGCTGCACGTCACTGGGCCCTCCGATCGCCTCCCCGGGGCACGTTTGTCTTTCCTGGGGCATCCCGGGCCCTCCTGGGGCCGCTCGCCGCCGAGGTCGTCCCGGGTGCCCCCCCATTGCTGACCTTTGGGAGCCATGCTGGAACCCTGTGGGGCCACCCTCGTGCTTCAGGAGACAGGGTCGCAGGGCAGACAGAAGAGACTTCCGGCATTGGCAAGTGAGCAGCCCGGCAATGCGTCTCACAGTTCGGGATGCTTCTCGATGCTGGTGGTATGCTACCGCTGGCCGCTCGTACACTGTCGCCCAGGTATATATTGACATTGGCCAAGTCGGTCTTGCAGCCTCTGGCTCAAGCTGGAGTTCCAAGTGTCACGTGTGGGGTGTTTGGGGACGTTGCCGTGTTACGGTCAGGAACGTTGGTTTAGCGTGTCGCTCCGCCGGTGCTGGCCCACCACGCTGCGGCGCGACAAGCTACCCACGCTTCAGTCCCCGAGCGACAATTTTTTCGAGCCTCTCCCAGCCTCCCGCCCCGCGGAGCAGAGCGACACGCTAGCCGCTCGCAGGGCATGGCGTGCCACCAGGGCCGCCGCCGCGACACGCTCGGCAAACAAGTTCCTGACCGTAGTCGCGTTTTTTTGTTGCAAGAGTCTTTCAGAGGTGCAGCCATGGCCGAGGCCAGCACCACGAGCACTTCTAGACTCAGTGGGCTCACGGGCTCGCGCAAGAAGACCCAGCTGGAAGTGCTGCAGCACCTGGTGACCAAGCACATTACGGACCCGTCCCTCATAAACCTGGCGAATGCGAGCGACTTTGGGATCACGTCCACTGAGCGTGGCATCTCCCGCTACGAGAACACCCACCTGGTGGCAGCGTTGGACACGCTGTTAGCCTACCAGCGCGACCGGCGTGCCAAGGCGCTCGGCGGTCTCGCCATCATGAGGAGGTCGTACACACACGACCCCCGGACACGATTGATAGAGCTCCTGAAGCGGTGGTTGCGGGCCAGCGCACCGAACAAGGACGTTCTGGAAGAGGAAGTGCACAGAATGTGCATGCTTTGTCGTGACATCCTCAATCACCCAAACCTGTTCCCGTCTCGCAACACTAGAAGCTTCATGCAGACGCTCGCGGAGGTCTACCAGCACCTGCAGGTCCAGCTGCGGGAAGTGCTGGAGAGAGACCGCACGTGCGCGGAGCTGGCAGTGCGGTGCCTCTCCCTGAGCAGGAACCTCATCGCCGACGCCATCATCTTCCTGCTGGTGGCCACCACTGACCTGGGGAAGACGGACAAGCTGCCGTCGGTGGAGGTGGTCGCGCTGTGGCAGTCCCTGCCCAGCGAGACGAACCCGCTGCCGAGCCGCGCCGATGTGGCGCTGCAGAAGCTCATGAAGGAGGGCTGGCAGACCACGTGCGGTGCGGTGGTGGCCCGACTGCTGAGCATGCCGTCCACCTTTCGCGTCTTCGACTCCGCGGGGGCCGAGGCTGAGGCCCAGGCCTCGAGCGGCTTCACGGCCGCGGGCGGCGCCACGGGCTCGACCAGTCAGCCGGCGACGGCGGCGGAGATCGGTGGCGAAATCCGAACCCTGCCCTCGCCCATCCATGATTCAGGCAACTCGATGGGCGGCGGGGGTATACGATTCGGAATTCGCCGAGCGTTTTGGCGAAACCCGAATCCTGCCCCCGGCTCCCATCGATTCTGGAGAATCGGTGGTTGGGGGGGGTAGGATTCGGATGTTGCCGCAGGAGACGGCGCTGGTGTCCGCAATCGCGGCGGACAGCGTGACCACTTTCTTCGCGGAGGTCCGGCAGGAGCTGGAAAGGGACGCGCTCAAGGCGAACTCCGGCTTCGCGGGGCCCTTCCGGGAGGCCCGGCTAAAGAAGTTCCGGCTGACGTTCGTGGACGCAGCGGAGACCGTGTTCCACCTGGTCTACCTTCTGGGCGAAGTGCTCGTGCACTTCCAGAGGATCAGCGACGGAATGGGCGATTACGGCATGATCCGGGTGGCTCCGTGGCTCCACCCGTTCTTGGACGCGATCGTGGATAAGGTTCAGGAGGGGGAAGAGCACAGAGACACAATGAATCGGCGATTCCGAGGACAATATGGGCAAACATTGGAAAGGGGGGGGGGAAGACGGAAACCCAGAACATGTGGGAAGAGGTTGGAAGTCCTAGGAGTTGTGTCTGTTCGTTTGCGTGTCCCTGGGCCTCTCCACAAAGGTCCTCGGGCTGAAGGGGCACCTCGCCACGCTCAACGCGGGCATGGACACCGAGCTGGTGTTGGCGAAGGCGCGAGGCCAGAAGGTGAAGAAGCCCATCCCGACAGAGATCCAGCTCAGCCGAGCGCACGGTGCCATCGAGCGCGCCGTCACGGCACGGGAGAGCCACTCGGCGCTGCTGGCGAAGGCCATCGAGGACCTGCGCTCGCGCTCGGCGCCGGAGCGCCTGCCGCACATGGTCGAGGGGATACACGACGCCTGCATGCAGCTGGAGCACGTGTTCGCCTCCCCGCAGTTCCGCGAGTGCGTCGGCGACGCCTTCCCCGACCTGCCGGCCCTGACCGAGATGGCGGCGGCGCGGACGCAGCCCACGCTCTTCGACGCCGACGACGGCCTCGCGCTGGCGGGGGAGGCCTTCGAGGGCAGCGACGACGAGGAGGACAAGCAGAGGGAGCGGTCCTGGCTGTCCTCCTCCGCGAGCGGGCGCAGGCAGAGTACGGGCTCGGGCGAGGGCAGCAGCTGGCGCCACCGCGAGAGCTCGCTGCGGCGGCGCGCCTACGACACGGTCGTGCAGGGGCTGGGCTGCAGCGCCCCTGGAGCTAGCCAGAGCCAGGAGTCAGAGGAGGAACAGGTGCCCATACCTCTGCCCTCCGCCCGTGTTCCCCTCTTCGGGCCTCCTCGGAGGCCCTCGTCGCCACCGTTGGATTCGCCTCGAAAGTCTGGTCAGCACGCACCCCGGGAGTGGTCCAGGGAGTAGCGGTATCGGTACCTGCCTTGTGGTTTCCCCAAGGAGGTGACGCTAGCTGGCAGGTTCCCTCCAGAGGACACCGGCCTCCCACCTGACGGCTGGGTCTGCCGCCATGGCCCCGGAGGCCGTATCATGTGGCACCACACGTCGCTGGGCCCGGCGCCGTGGGAGTTGGAGCAGACCGAGGCCAGCGCCACGCCTTCCGCCGTCAGCCCTCGCTCCGTGGCCTCCGGGCCCTCGCCCTTCAAGCCGCCACGTCCGCAGGCCGCGGCCTCGCCCTTTGCGCCCGCTTCGCGGGAGCGGCCGGCGCCGGTGCAGTGGCTGGACCTGGACGAGCGCGAGTCGCCCCGGTCGCAGAACACCGCGCCGCCACAGCCGCAGCTGGACAGGGAGGACACGGACGCGCAGCAGTGGGTCCCAGCGCCTGCTGCGGCGCGCCCAGCGGCGGCGGCGGCCAGCGCCGCCTCCTCTCCCGCGCCGTCGCATTGCACCAGCCCGAGCCTGCCTCAGTCGGGTTGGTCGGGTGCGCCACCCTCGCCGCCGTGCCTCTCGTCACCGACCAGCCTCACTGCGGAAGTCTATAGGCTCGCCCGCGGGTCGGGGGGCATCTCGCAGCGCCACGACCGTCGAAGACTGATCCTGGAGGGCTGCAAGTTGCATGTCTGCGAGCCTGGCTCGGTGGACCAAGTGAAGTTTTCTCTGGACCTCGCCAGCGAGATGAGCGAGGTCGTGCTGCTCCCCCACGGAGTCC